GTCCTTTAGTTTCTGCGGATATAAAAGAGGCATTCACTCCAAGAATTCGTTACATTCGTTTTTTGTGTTTGTTTTTTGTTTCTAGTCTCGAAACCCCTTTTTAAACCTATTTTCGGAAAAGAACTTTCGCGGCAAGCTTTGTCCTCGAACAAGTGTGAGAAGCAATTTAACCTCAAAATTCAGAACTGTGCTTCCTTTCAGGTATGCGTTTCTCTCTACGGCCGCCATAAATGCCCCTTATCTCCACTTAGAAAACCTTTCTACAAGGATGTCATAGATTTTCGTCTTTTTTCCCAGCTTTGTTCGCTTACATTGGCATTTCCAGTAGAAACAACTATCCTTGAATGTTGCCTCACTTCAGACCCATTTCCTTCCCTTTTTACGAGGGATTTTCGAAATTTCAACAGCATTTTCATTTAAGAGCTTGTCTTCTTCTTTCCATTGGTACCATTTTTGGCAGCCTGTTTTCACTTTTTGCTGAGTTATGAGCGTTTGAATTGTTCCTTTTCTTTTACAAAAACGTCATTTGTACGGTTTATATGGTAGGGGGTCAAAATCAATATTGCTAAATCTGGTCTAGGGAGTTTTCTGACTTGCTGATCGCGATTATCATACTTCTGCATTCTGGCGCCTTTTCATGGAATCACGGTGGGTATAATATATGGGGCCGAAAATACAAGTATGCTCGAAACTTTGCCTATGGATTTATTTAGCCCGCTGAACATGAATATCATACGATTTCCCTCTTAGCGCCATTTTCTTAGCACGGTGGGTGTACGGTAGATGAGTCGCAGTTCCAAATCTCTCAAAACTTTGGCTTGAAGGATTTTCAAGGAATCTGGTTATTTTAAGTTTGCTCGCGGCATCAATGCCTTGTTGTGGAAGCACGATAATTCGTGGCGTATGGAGAGACATTTTTCCACCCTTTGGGCTAATTCAAATCACAAAAATTTTGCTAAAGGCTTTATCGTGCGAAATGAGCACAATCCGCTTGACCAGCAGGACAGATGATTTTTTGGCAAGTATATGATTTTTAACCTTATACCATATATCCCGTAACTCCACGAAAAGGTCCCAAAATGCAAGGAGAGTGTGATGCCTGTGATCAGCATGTAAAGTGACCCTTCTAAACCGAATTTCAACCGAACTTGAGATTTTGTCTGCCTACCGTAAACCTACCATAATTATATGAAAGGGCCCTATAATGCAGAAAGAATGCGATAATCGTGATCAGCATGTCGAATAACACCCCTAAGCCGCGTTAGCGAAATTCTAATCTGGCCCCCTACCATATACCCACTGTGACCTCGAAAAAGAGCTATTGCGCAAAAATGATAGTCAATGGCTTCAGGTCGAATACCTTCCCCTCCCCTTCTAGACCAAGTTTGAGCAGGATCACTTCGAAACTTGGGGCATTGGAATAACTCCGTTCAAACTAAGTCAGCATGGCCATCAACATCAGAGTCGGACTTGAAGGCAGTGTCTCACCAGAGTTTACGTTTCGGGGTTTTTGCAAACTACAACCCATTACGACCTTGTATACCCCCAAACGGGCTTAAATCCGTTCAAAAATCCGAAAAACTCCGTTGTTTGGAGACTCCGTAGAAGCAACGCGGACGAGTTGTCCCGATTTATCTTAGCCTTGGCCGCCGGGTCAGACATGTCAAGATGGAAGGCGTCGCTTGGAAAGACTCGTTGAGACGCGATAAGAGAACCGATAAGTCGTTCAGCGAGCCGAAAAGCTTTTTGAGCTCAATTTTTCTGAAGTAGAAGAGACTTAGTAGAACGGGACTTGGGCATTGGCCTGAGAAGGGGACTCCCTAATGAAATCTATAAAATCCGGTATACCTCCAATACAGTGAGATGCTGTCTTTAAGCATGAATGGAAACTTTAGTGGGAACCTGATCAATGCAGTGATTGGAAGGGGGAGGCAGAAGGGAAGAAAAAAGAATTTTCGAGAAGGCTACTGAATTTTGGCATTGCAAAGTGTTAAGAAATTGTGCAGCAACCATAAATTGAGAAGATTTGAAAAAGAAGCTTTGGGATTTTGGCACGGAAAAGTTGAGGGGAACGGTGTAAACATTGTGGACGAAAATACTTTGAAGGAGGAGGAAGATTCTGTGTCTTTGGCAGTAAGCTTTGAGAAAAGGGGATTTTAAAGACAGGATACCTCTTTGAGTAGAAAAAATGGATAACATGATTATGGATTAAAGGGGAACTTAGGGCCTCTTAGCTTAGGAAATTGGACAGGAGAAAGATATTACAAGGCTAGATGGAGAAGGAAGTTAGGCACCTCTGATGCTTTGACGGAAAAAGCAGCCAGCGAATGAATTTACGCCGAAAGAACACACAATACATCAGCTAGAAAAAGTTACAGAAAGGAGGGCTACGGAAAGGATGCTTTTTGAGGAGGAAAAGCACTATTTTGATTATCCCATGCGCAGGACGAGTCTGGAGGAGAAGTATGAGTAGGGTGTGCAAGTCCATTTCCGAGAATGAGCTTCACTGAATGCGACATTTAGACAATTCTTTCATCTAGCAATCTTTTACAAACAATCGTACTTTTGTCATTCAAACCTATATGCACCATGCATTTTCAGCAGATCTTTTTTATCAAAACATTAATGAACAAAAATTACGGCTTTTTACGGCATTGAAAAGTGTTATCCGAGGTTTTGGTGACTCAGTATGACAGTTCTCACAACTGATAGCCATCGGGCCGCTAGTTTGTTCCAAAAGATAGCTACTGGCATGCCGGTAACATTAACTTTTATTCTCCTTTTTTAAAGAATACATTCTGGCATACGCTAGCCACGGTGTGATAGTGCCAAGCCTCCTTTACATTATATGCATCAGAGTGTTGCAAAATATTCTCGGTGTCTTATTTTACGGAATAAAACACGCAAAAAATGATTTCCTTGCTCTTAAAAGATCTAGTTTGAGTTCCAATTTCTACAAAAATACATGGCAGCTATTCTCAGCTAGGAAGTGTATCTTAAAGAAATCGCAGAAATGGCATCGAATTTGAATCAAAATTATTAGTAGCTTTGTAATTTACAGCACTGCATGTTTGGCTCCCAGACGTTACAGCGCACCTGCAGTTAATGCACGTTCTGAAGAATTCTAACTTGTAATTACTCTCCGAACTGCCCAAATGCAATAGGAACCAAGGCTCAACTCAGGTGATACGGGCAGGTTTTACACTGTTTTGTGGTTTGCAAGCGAAGGCGAGCGTCTCCTCGATCATCATTAGATTGCACTCTTTGCTTCAAAACATTTACTAGGGAGCAACCTGTTGGAAGCTGAAATGAAAAAATAAACAGTGGTTATTCTGGAGCATTGACCAGTTCCATGCCTATCAGTCCAACAAATTCAGGCAGAACTAATTGACCGCCAAATCTCTTTCTTTTTCGAGGACCCGCGCGAAACTGATGGATTGCACCATGAATCCATCCGAAATACGATCCCGGGATCCAATTTCGAGGGAAATATCTCAGCCGTTAGAGCGCTACCTGAGCTGCCGTTTGGGCAGTGACTTTGTTAGGGCCCCAAAATTACTATCCACGTGAGATCCCCATATGTCTAGATTTGGTTGGACGCTGCCTTTAACCGCAGAGAGCATAAGGCGTGGTTTTGCAACGGTGAGGAAACGCGCGCACCGCATTTAACTTATACTCCTTCTGCTCCTTGCGATAGTATGCAATAACCTTTACTTGTTTTTATAGTCTTTATTTCGGTGTACTCGTATCCATTAAGGAAATTATTTTTACCGAAGGTTGCCAGAAATTATATGGAACTCGTTCAAGAGAGGTCAACTGACATTAAATGGTGGAATTTTGCAAACTTTCCTCATTGCCTAGGTGATCGTCATCGGCAGTAGTGGTCTCAAGCTTCACACTTGCGATTTCTCTCGAGAACACATTGCAAAAAATCGAAACCACTTACTTTTTTGGAGAGGATGAAAAATTGGCTTTTTTGAAGGCTTTGGTTTTATTAATCGATATGAAACAAGAAAAACCTGCCAAATTTTACCAGAAAATTTACAAAAATCCACTTTTGCTTCAGGGGGCGAATATGAAAATGCAGCGCTCGTTGCTTACATTTTATACTTCACGAAGAGGCACGTCGAGTGACTGTGCTTGTGTAGAAACTTCTTAGATTAAGATTTTGTGGAAAAAATTGTTTGAGCACAAAAAGATGTGCCCATTGTATGATTGCAAATAATTGTTTTGTAATAAAGTCTTTCGAAAAGCTTTGGGTACCGTTTTGTAGAGCTGGCTCTAACTTATATTTGCAGTATAGAGCGAAATATCGTTCGCTCTTCATTACCGTAGGATCACAATAGAAACTTCAAGCGTATGGTATCACCGAAAGTTTCTAAAATATGTGAAAACTTGTGAAAAAAATTTCTTGGACGCCGAGTTCAATGCTCTGCTATGTACAAAATGCGAAGCTTTCTTAACGGTGTAATCGTACTTCTTAGGAGCATTAAAACACGGTCGCTACTGCTTACTTCGCATAACTTTTTAATGAGCGTTGTGATGAGTTGCGAACTTCACATTTGGATTCAGCAACTATAATGCGCAGGTGAGAGTTTTCAGGTTGTTGGCCGCTCAGACCCCTCTTCATAGTTTCTACCCTAAACTTAGTAATGGAGAGCAGTCGCTCATTCGCTCCATTCGCAAATCTAGGTCAAAATCAACTTTAAATACTGGTACCTACAGCTTCTCGGAAGACTTTATTACAAGAGAGTTGTAAACGATCCAGCAGTAAGTGTATCTTTTTGAGACACCCCGTATATTCGGGTATTTTATGGAATTGAGCGTGAAAGCAAAGAACTTCAAGTTTTAGTTCCTTTTGAAAGCATGTAACCTGAAGTAAACAAAGATCTACACAAATGAAGGCATGTAAAATAGGAAGGGTCTTATAAATACTGTAATACCCAAAAAATCGATTTTTTCTTAAATCTTGCCCAAAGCTATGAAATCTACAATGATTATCATTCTAATGGAATGGGTTTCGGTGCAGTTCCCAGAAATTTTCTCAAAGGCTGCATATTTTCGAATGAACACACAAGGAGAAGTCGACCGAAGTTGTAGTCACCACGGTACAGGTAGTAATAATGAACTGAGCATCCAAACTGTTTCATACCGCTTTGCACTTTCTGTAAAAAAAGCTGGTAAGAACAAGAAGTAGGAAAGCAAGCAATTCTTGCACGGTATTTTGAGTTGATATGCTGTGCCGTCATTGCTTTTAATCACTTTCATAAGCCCGACTCCTCTCACATGCATTCAGTTTCTGTGTCACACATACTAGATTTGTTCATAATTAATGCACGTTTTCAAAATTCACCTTCAAAGGGCCGTAATTCTTTGCGCAAATCATTTCAAAAGCAATAAGAACTATTAAAGCAAATTTTGGCTTCACAATATTTACTTTCGTTTATTTATGATTTTACGAGAAAGTTTGTGCAACCCGCAAAAGGCCATAAACTTGAACCATGACTAAATTTTCTTTGGAAACCTCTATTTTGAAAAAGCTTAACTTAGTCTCAAAGGTAGTAGGAAAGTGCAAACTTTGCTCATTGCGTAGCCGATGGTCAAGAGGACAGTGGCGATAAACCCAGATTTCAGGGAATTTTTTACGAGCATACTGCAAAAAATAGAAAGTAATCATTTTTCCTGGCTTTTTTGAAAAAGCGAAATTGTCTTTTTTGAAAATTTTCAATTTTTTCGCCACAAAAGGTGAAAAATATCAACTTTTTGCTGATCACTCAATATGCTATTTCTATTCTTTCGTATACAAAGCAAAACAGCAATTGGTTCTTTCTTACTTGAAAATTTTCTACGATATTGAAGGGTTACAATGAGCAGTCAAGTTTGTGGTTAAATTTCTCGTCTCATTGTCAGATCTTTTGCAAAATCCTGCTTCGAAGAGGATCTATGGCAGAAAGCTTTGCAATTGTTAAGCATATTTTTCGAATAAGCATCTTCATTTTCAAGGAATCATAAATATAAATAAAGAATTTCAAGTTTTGTCTCACCTATTCGAAAGCGTAGAACTTGTTATATACAGAGAGCTACGAAAAAGAAAGCAAATACAAGAAACTCAGAGGAGCGTTCTTTCAGAAAGCATTGAAAGTTTCCGGAAAGAATCAGTTTTCTTGAAAAAACAGCTTTTGAAAGAAGAGTTAATAAAAACGTGCATCAATTATGAATCGACCTAGTGTATATTTAATCAACCTAATATATAACTTACCGAGCAAAGTTGTAAGGTTTCGTTCCAATGATCGAGGGCCTCAAAAGCTACTGAATCTGGATGAGGAGGGGGACCACTAAATTTTACAGTGAAGTCCAAAGAGGAAGTTTGATAAGACTTACGCAAAGAGAATAGCAAACATGTTTTGCTCAATTTGGCGGAGTCTCGTCCCCATTCTTGAATATCTGTAAGCATCTTCTTCTTGCATGCAGCTATACTTCTAAAAAGAAAAAGAATCTGCAGACTTTTACCTCAATGGCAGTTTAATTTCTTGTTGAGCTCATTAGGTTGAAAAAAACTTAAAGGCAACGGGTCAAGTTTTTAAAACTTCGATAGTAGATGAGATAAAGATTTGTAGATCAAAAGTGTGGCTAACCGCTTTTACTCCGCACTTCATCTCAATCATCTGCTTGAATGACTTCTCCCATTTGGTGTAGAAATATCCGATACGGCATTTTGTATAACTAAGTTGCCAATCCCAGCCCCAAGCGGCCACAGGAACAGAAAGAAGCTGAAGAGGTTTGAAATAACATAGAGACATCATGCGCAAGTAAACAAACTATTGCAGCTCACAGGTATAAGAACACAGAAGTGCAGGCAGCAGATGAGATTAGTACGTTCTTCAAAATATTTGATGAAGTCAGACATCCGTAGTATTCTGCAAAAACATTTATCAACAAATATTTACAAAAAAAAATCACGGGTAGTAGATGTAACGTGCGTTAATGGAACCGTGTAAGCAACAACTTGTGATGTTCGAACTACACTTTACTCAATAGGCAAAGCTTTCAGTAATTACGTCATGACTATATGTACCGATTCCGTACGCTGCTAGCCTTTACTATCACTCTACCAAGTAAATCATCTTTGCCTGTCGTAAACGTCATATTCGCTGTCGAAATGCTCACGCGATTCGCCTCAACGTCCTAAAGCACTCAAAATGACTTATTGACTTCATTAATTGATGGCAAAAAAGCGTATAGAAGAAGAGAGAATACTGAGAGAGTTTTGTTGGTATATCGCGTAAGCAGTGACCGCAAATTCACCGACCCCCAGATCGGGCAAAACATTACATCTTCAGCAGAGAAGAGCAGACAATTAAAATAATTAAATAATACCTGCCGCCCTTAAAAGATCGTTTCTTTCGAGTACATCCCTTTTTCTTAAACTTTGGTATTACTTTAATTAGCACGACAATGTGAAAAGCCAATTTATAACTGTTGTAAAAAATGGTTTTTCCGCTTGAAAATGCAATGCGCTTTCGAGCAATCATTAGGCGAGATGTAGATAGTGCTTGAAACGTGACATAAGTATTTTCCTTATTTATTCTTTGTGGAACTACTTCCCAGTGATGATTGCCCCCAAAGCCAAGTTGTCAAAATGCAGCATTTGTCTTCAACTGATTAAGATTTTCTCAGTTATTCTACAAGCGACAGTAATCTACGCGTAGAGAAGACAAGTGATGTAATTAAAGGCACCGTCCACCCAGACTTTCGACTTCCAAGTTTTTGTCATTTCAGGGCCTTCTCATGTCCCTGATACCGAATACGAAGTCGAGAATCAGCGAAAACTCCGAAAATTCCCGCTCCGGAAAACCCAAGCCGTCCCGTAACGGTGACTGAATGGATGGGCGGGCATGGATGGGGAAGACGTTGCCTTCTTGAGGCCATGCATCTTCGTTACACCGGAGCGAATTTGTTTCCGAAGCGACTTTTGCACCGTGAATGGGTATCGGTTTGATAGGGGGCCCTATTATCATATGCTGCCAAAAGCTCGAGACTCTCAATTTGAGGTAGACGATGCTTTTAAAGGGAGTGACTCACCAAAATTGGAGTAGTGCAGGTCTCCACATGTTTTGTCAGAGGACCTTCCGGATAGGCAACCGCCCAAGCCGAGTCGATTTGGACCCCTCTACGCCAGAAATCTGCTCTCAAAGAGGCCGGCAAAGCGCGTTTGGCCCGGACGACAGACGCTCCCCGTTTTCCCTTCACGTGTTTTAACATGTTGATCCATTTGGCGTCCACTTCCATGGCAAAGGCTAGGCTGAGAAGGCACAACTCGTCTGCGTTGCTTACACGGGGCTTTTGAAAAAATGGGGTTTAGTATATTTTATGCGATTTTGGACTCATATTAAGTTAGAGAGGGACGAAAAAGCTTGCAATTTGCAGAAACTCGGAAATTTTGATGGTACACTGCCTTCACTATTGCATATGTCAGATTAAAACGAGAGAAAACAGGAATCAGCGAATTGGAATTAAATTTTAGAAATCTGGCTTGGACGCGCGTAGGAGGACTCAAAATACCGTGTTTTAATTTCCTCAAAAAGTCGTTATGCAACAGGGCAATACGTATTTTCCCGAACCATGATAACAATGATGGCAACAAGTATGTCTGCCTTGTCCTATCTGGGAACACATCGTGTCAAAGTAGAACGGTCTCAAAGGAAATCATATGAACACCAAAATTTCATTTTCTTTTTCATTTGCCTTAACCAGATGGCATATGAGATAGGCGATTGTGATAACGTTGAAGTCGCGTTAGCCACCAAAATTTAATTCGTTTAACATCTTGGCGACAACGCGCTTCAGTTGTCTGTCTTGTGGGACAATGCCTTCTAAATAAGTCGAAAATTTCTGGCTAAAATAACGCAGGTCATCTATACTATACCTATACAAATTCTAAAAAGCAGCCAAAAACGTCAAAGTATTCTTTAGGGTTAGACTACAAAAGACCTCATAAAACGAATGAACCCAATAATTGTAAACATTTCAGCAAAATCTAAACCATGATCCATAATGTGGGTCACATTGCCAAACGTGGCAGCCATTCGTTGTCGTCAAAATGTTGAAAATGTCGATTTTGTAAAAAAATCTCTGAATAAAAATCTGCACACAAAAAGGCGGCTTTTGCACGTTATCATATAGAATCGTTATGTGCCTATGGTTGACGTAGTGGAAGCCTCTCTGGTATTTATGCTTGGGAATCCAATCCAATGCTTGGGAAAAATCTTGGTTTGGACTTCAGTTTCAAGCGAAACAAGATTTCTCTGATTTCAAACTTTATAATATTGTAGAACTTGCTTATGTGACCAACAAGAACTTGCATTGTTATTAAATACAATGTCCCTTTTTTCTCATAGAATACCAGTCTTTTTACCGAGATGTAATGTTACAGCACTATGCAGATCACATCAAATCAGAAAAGTCGTTTTCTCCAAACAACCTCAGCATGAATCAAGAAACCTTAGCTGATAGTTTACTGTCAAACTCATAGACATCGGCGACTTCGGCAGCTTCTCATGTTTTTATGCACGTGCTCAATCTCAGTGGGCATGAATACGAGAATCTGCAATAAACAGTGAGATTCAGCAAATTGAAAAAAGAACATCGACACATCGTAATATCTCAGATTTGAAAGTTTTCCTAAGGTACTTGTTGCTGCAAAGCATTGCTGATAATACTAATGATATAGCAACATTATATGCATGTGCTGTAATTGCACTACACTTTCGCAATGATTGCATTTACTTCACCTTATCGATTCAAGAAAAGCAACTCCTAAACTTTCTACGTGATCTAAATTGTTGTGCGGACCCCTTTTCTCTATCTTTTTTAAGCGGGCCTAGTTCCTTTTTCAGGATTTCTCAAGCTCATGCTATCAAAAAATGAAGAATATTTTTTCTATTTTGCTCCTTGTTGATCCTTGAGTTTGCTTGTTTGTAATCCAATTCAAAAATGTCTGCATGAAATTATAGTTGAGTGATGCTTATATAAAATGCTCACAAGGGAAGTCACTTAACTTAGGTCGGCTTATGAAATGAACATATACTCAGATAATCGCCGGGGGCAGGCGGGCCGCAAACTCGCGCTTTTCTGCGGCCAGCAGAATTTTGGGGCGTGGCCAAACCTTCAGCGAGCGGTACTTCCTTTACTGTTTAATGTTCTGCCAGCGGGCAGCAACACAGAAATTTCTGCAGGCGCTCGTCAAATAATCTCTTTCAGCGAGCGCTGGTCAAATTTTCAGCTGGCGCTCTGACGGTTTTTAAGCAGTTCCGGGCGTACGCCGAGCAAACTCAGACAGTGGCCGGGGGCACCGGAAAAATAGATTGCTATCTCTCGCACCCCGCTCGCGGATTTTTTGGAAAGCAATCAGGAATTTTGGGAAGATCGCTTGCTGAGTTCTCGATTCCTCAGAGATTCAGCAATATATCTGCAAAAGATAAGATGAAAAAAATTCAACAAGCAGTGTCTCAAAAATCCGCTGACTCAGCAAGCGGTCTTCCGAAAAGTCCTGATTGCTTTCCAAAAAATCCGCGAGCGGGGTGCGAGAGATCAGCAATCTATTTTCTTGGAGCCCGCCTGCCCCCGGCGATTGTCTGAGAATGTGAGACTCTACATGCTCAGATAATCGCCGGGGGCAGGCGGTCCGCAAACTCGCGCTTTTCTGCAGGCGGTCAGCAGAATTTTGGGGCGTGGCCAAACCTTCAGCGGGCGGTACTTTCGCGTTCTGCCAGCGGGCAGCAATACAGAATTTTCTGCGAGCGCTCGTCATATAATATCTTCCAGAGAGCGCTGGCCAAACTTTCAGCAAGCGCTCGGTCTCTTTTTAGGTATTTTCGGGCGTACGTCGAGCGCAGGTAAGACTCTGTGTGGCAGAGGTGTCACCGTTGGTTCAATTACTCAAGTTTGATGTACTTTCTCTCAGCGGAAAGTACCTGGGGGTTGCGCGGTCCTTCACAAAGGACCGTTCGGCCGCCGAAAATTTTGCATATTTTCGCGGAAAGTCCGCGAGAATGCGGCCAGCGCCGCAGCTAATCTATAAAAAAAAACCGCGATTGTTCTCCAAGCATTCGCCTAAATTTTCGCTAAAATTCTTTCAAATATCTGCAAGCGGACCGCAAGAAATCTGCGAACTATTTTTCCGGTGCCCGCCCGCCCATAAATCGCATGGCCGCCTGCCCTCGGCGATTATCTGAGCAGTTGCAATCAGCTTGAAACGCTGATTTCAAATCTGCTTCCCAGCGAAGCATTACTCTCTAAAGCGAGTTATGTGCTTTTTCTTGAGCAAACTTTGCGTGTTGACCGACTTAGGCATGCTACGGTATCATCATTAGGTAGTGGTTCAGTTGCATAATACCTTATCAAAGCCAAGTGACTTGATTTGATGTTATTTCAATCTTCCACCACTTTTTAGGCCCGTATGCACGTACATCCCCACGGGGAGGGGAGGGGATCTGAGAGGGGAAGCGCCATATCTCGCTACAATAGATATCTTTCTTCCTTCTTCTCTATCTTGCTTATAAAGGTCCTCATACCCTTATACCTGCGCATAATGGATGCCAGCTTCCTGCTATACAAAACTGAATATTCACTATTTCGTCTGATCCCCTGGGGATCCCCAGGGGATCAGCTCACATTTTCAAAGTTATTTATCTTCCTGAAAAATCAATGAAAACGCTACAAAATTGTACTGAAGATATACTACGATACTGCTGAGCATGTTTTCGACAGAAGAAATGGAATCTGAAGATTTAGATTTTTTCGGCAATCCCTGGCTGGCGAGCAGCAGTTCATCGAAGATTTTGATATCTTGAGATTTCACTCATTTCCACCATAAACATGTTTATCAGTGCTGTAGTATATCCTCAG